TACCCATTCAAGCCGTCTCCAACCATTATTAGTCTCAAAGTGGGTTCCTCGTCATCGAAATGTATTATATATATATATTTATATAGAAAGTTGCAAACTGAACCTGACAGCATCGCACCAGTTCATATATTCTCCTAACTTAGTTTCCGACATTAGTCCATAGATTATTCCATAGATAGATTCCTCAGATATTCCACTGGATCGAATTAAAATCATGAGTTGTTTTGAAAGTAAGTCAGGCTATGACAGCTGGCGACACCTATCAGGCATCGCATCAGTTCAATAATGGGAGGGAATATTCCCAGGAAAATTGTTCTAATATGTCAATCGATACTGACCCTTCTTCAGTTGACATAAGCCTAATGATTTCATTTTTTTGTTCTGCTAGTCCAGTACACTTGTTGACATCTTCTCTTCGAGGGTTTTCTCGTCATTGCAAATATTTCGTCTGCTGAAAGATCTTCTGCCCTTTCTTAACATTGGACATCTTGAACTTCAAAGAGGACTTTGTCAAATAATTGAGGCTGTGTTTTAATGACGAAAGAATGTTGATTATAGATTTTAGTAGCACTGAAACCGCTGGAAAAGAGTGAGTCCGCAATTGTGAAGACTGGTTACGGAAGTTACCGGTAACGTTGTAACCCAATGACTTTCTCATTCAAAGGATCCAGTTCTGTTCAAGTCCACCTTCTCTTGTCAAAACTTTGAGTCTTGTCTTGTCTTGTCTTAGGATTTTGAACTTAGTTTTGTTCCAGCGAAATGTATTGACGTATTAGAACAGAATACACCACGCATTTGCATCTGGTTTGTTTCACGCACGTGCAGTAAAAACGGCAGATTTGGCAACAAAGTTGATCTTGCAGTGAAGCCAACACCCAAAAAAAAAAAATAGTTTGTAGGAAACACAGGAGTAACGTCAGAGTTTCACCAAAATCAAAAGAAAAATAATTTAACTTTGTATTAACTGGTTAACAAAGTATAAGTTGACAATTGAAACATTTCTTTAACACGTCAGAGAGATACACATTTTATTAATTTTACACCGGAAAATAATTCCTAATAAACTATTATTATATTTCTAAAATTAATTCATTAATATTGTTGAGAAATGGCACGTGTTTTCCTTCAAGGGTATATTTTCCAGTTTTAGGGATTAATATGTTATGTTATTGAGCAGTTTTGTGTTTCATATTGAAAGTGACTGACATCAGGTGTTAAACCTAAAATTGTTGACTTGTTTTTATACATAATACCGGTAGTGGAGTCCATATCTTGCATCATATTGAGTCATTTTATGTTTTAGTCTGTTACAACATTCAATGTAAAGAGAAAGCTCGGTGAAATTAATTATTTTTCATGTTTACTACATAGGTGACCCCTAGCGGGAGTTAGTGATATTAACTGCAGTATAGCTAGCAGTTTGTTAGCAGTTTCTGTGTAACTCGTATGTTATCAGAGACTTTTGTAATCAACAAAGTCGTGGTCTCGCAAACTATTTGGGCCATGAATAGTTTCGATAAATGAGTTTTTTATAGATTGATGGATCCTGGAGCCAGATCGAAATGTGTTATCTGTCAGTTTGTAATGTGTTTAGTGTCATACATTGTTTCGTCAAATGAATTAAGTTATTTCACACTCTGCTACGTAATAAAATTTCACGTGATAGAAAACAGTGAGGCAACCAATACAAACTTTAGATTTTTACCAAGTCACTAGCCATTTCAAACTACTTTGTAAACGACACTGCCACCTACATCAGTGTTACGTATTGATGAACTGTGTTTTGTTGTTCTCCAAATACTGTTGATTAAATCACCGTTCGAAACGTTTGTACAGAATACAACAGAATGTTCACTTTCTGCTGTTAGGAGATTAAACAATGATAATAATGAAATAGTGCTAATAACGAAGTAATGGTAATTATGAAATAGTGCTAATAACGAAGTAATGGTAATTATGAAATAGTGCTAATAATGAAGCAATACTAATAATGAAATAGTGCTAATAATGAAGCAATACTAATAATGAAATAGTGCTAATAATGAAGCAATACTAATAATGAAATAGTGCTAATAATGTAACTATGCTACTAAAGAAGTAGTACTAATTATGAAAAAACGCTAGTAAAGAAACAATGTAGTAATGAGATAATGCTGATAATTAAACAATACTAACAATGAAGTAATGCTAATAATGAATTAATAGTAATAATGAAATAGTGCTAATAACG